TTAAAATCACCAGTAATAAGTACTTTATCATAACACTCCGTTAGCTGTAGAAATTTTGTAAACAGATCCAGCCACGCCGCAAGATTACAGTTCGGTGGACGGTAGCATATTGAAACAAGGCATTTAGTGCCAGCGTTGTCTAAAAACTCAGCGGCAACGATTTCAAGTTCCGACCAATGTTCAGATGTTATTTGGTTGTATTCAAATAACATCTGAACATTGTTATTAGGGAATGTTATCTAACTCACTTAATTAAGTGGTGTTATACCCAAATTTACGATTTAACATTATGCTTCCTATATAGCTACATGCTGCATTGAATACAGAAGATATACAAATAATTAAATAACTGTACCCCTCTGGACCTATCAACATCCAGTAATTTTATCATGCTAATAATTTTAATTTTGTCTTTTGTAAAGGAGAAATGTGCAGACTAATTATCGATACTACTATTTCACGGAGGGAAGGAGCACCAAAGTTGTAAATAGAAGAGACACTTGTACAAGTACCTGCTCTTTATCAGTCTGGGGTTCGTGTTTACGGTACAAAAGAGTTTGTAGGTAAGTATAGAAAGCCAGTACAGTTGAGCAATGACAAGCGCATGTTCATCGACAGTGTGAATACGTCAATAAACCTTATGCGATAGATATAATAGACCTAGAGACGAAATCCATGTTTTTCAGTGAAAGATTTCTCCGGTGTATTGCTGCAAATCCCCCTGTTTTTTTTTCAAAAAGCTTCCCATTATGGGCTTTTTAAAGAAAAATGGAATGGAATGGTTGGACTGTATTTACACATAATAAATATATTTCGTCAAACATTCCGTGAAACGTGGTCGCTTGGCCAAAGATGTATGTTTTGTTACCTACAGTACTTTTCAGAAACCTAAAAAAACCGTGGTTAACCTAGGTCAAACCTGGGTCTGCTCCAAAATTTCATCGCGAAATACACTTGATAGACATTGTTTAATATTATAAGTTTATGTTTATTTAATTCACAGTGACTTGATGGCAAAAAAGTTAATTATAGAGTAAAACAAATATTCCTGCATTGTCACGCTAGGCTCTACGATTTTTCCTAGCAAAGAGCCGTAGGTAAAAATCCGTACCGAAAACTGTTTTCAGCTGTCCCTAACATTTTGTTCGGAAGAGAACGGCCACTGCGATCTGCGTAGCAGATATATAGCTGTTAGAGAATGCACGGCGCCGTAAAGAGGACTTGGGACTAGTCTGGCCAAACAGGTGGGCATTTTGTTCGCGCTGATCCAAAATTGCGGGCTGGCCATTTCTCAATCGAGCAAGGTACTGGGTCTAATCGTGAACCACTATCGTGAAGCATCTATGGACTGTTTGGAGGGACTGAAACCACTGAGCTATATAATAATTTCTGGAGGACTTGCTCTTCTAATTTCAGTAACTTTTTCTGCCATGTTTTCGAAGCAAAAAACATGGCGGACTTCGCCTTCTGCGCACTGCGCAGAAGCTCTGCTGACGCCACTTGGGTAGATTTTGACGGGTAGATTGTGACGGGTAGATTGTGACGGGTAGATCTTTGACGAGTAGATTGGCCTTGTAGAATTTTGACAGGTAGATTTTTGACGGGTAGATTGTGCCGGGTAGATTTTTTACGGATGGATTTCCCAACAGGGTGCTTAGGCATTCAAAATGTAGCTATTACATTGTTATGGGTGATTTCAATGGTTTTGTTTCTTATTGGGAATGATATTCGCTGAATTTTCTCTTTAGAAAACTGAAAGTATTATCCCCGAGCCGGTGCGGAGCACCGTGCGAGGGTACTAATTCCGCTCGGATATTTATACCCACGATATGCAAATGCGAAATCAAAGTCGTCCGCCATTATGCAATGGACCCACAGTCACAGATTACCCAGATGTCTCACTTCTCATTAAAAAAGCGTAAGCGCTTGCTCAGCAAGTGACTAGAGGCATTCCCCCCCCGAAATTTCAAAATGGAGCCGAACTATTTTATACATGGAAAAAAACCTCCTCTCATTTGCTAGAGAAGGCGACTGTGTAGTTAAGTTTGTGTCTGAATCCATCATCATCTATACGCGCTTTGGAAAAGTGAGTTTAGAGTACCTCGTTTTCAATATTGTACGAGTGTTTTATCTTTTTTCGATTGTCGTAGGAGCGGAAAATTATAAGCAGTAGAAATCTCCATAATTTCAAACATATTTCTTTTAAAAAGTGTTTGAATATCTTTACATAGAATGGAACTTCCTGTACAAATCAATAAATGTACATATATTCCGACTCATTTGACACATCGTGCAGTTTTTCACTTCAATTCAGTTCGTCTCCATTTTGAAATTTTATTTCGGGGGGGTGAATGCCTCTAGTCACTTGCTAAGCGAAGCGTGCGCAGAAAGCGATGCGCCGTGACGAATCGCTTACGCTTTTGAGTCAGAAGTGAGACATCTGGGTGTTAATCTGTGCCACAGTGCAACACAGTGAATGGACCTCACGCCATGGACGGTCTTCTACGTTTTACGCATGCGCCAGTGTGAACTACTAAGCTCTTGATTGGTCGAGACAAAAATTTGTATTCTCAAACGTCAATGAATAACCATAGGCAGCCCAGAAATCTGTTTATACTCAGTCTTCGACTGCATTGTTTACGCGCGCGGTCAGCTTCTCCTGCCTGTACTAATTACTGTATTATATATTAATTAATATTTTAAAATATATAATACAGTAATTAGTACAGGCAGGAGTCGAAGACTGAGTATAAACAGATTTCTGGGCTACCTATGGAATAACTGTCATTTAGCAAAATTTTGATGAAATTTACAAATTTATATTTTTATATATATGGAATATGTGTATTTTTACTAAATTAGAGGGAAGCTCGAATGATGTCAGGACTTTTCACGATTTAACAAATAACAAGATCAAATTTTCGACCGAATTTACCGTGTATAATGAACTCGGAATATTTTACACTTGATAATATTTCATCCGGAAGACCGGCACAGCTTTAAAAAGTAATTCTTTTCTGGCAAACACAACTTTAATATTCTCAAATGTTTTTCACTATAAATCTGAATGTGTTATGTGATAAACGACATTAGAATTTTATTTATAAGCTTCGTTTTCATAATGACAAAAAGAAAACAAAATCAAAACATTCCCGTACAAAAACCAGTCGAAGCGTTGTATGAGACGTCTGATGTTATATTTCATGGTAATTAATAATTAAAATAATTTACCATAACACTGACTATAGATGAGTAACTTAACTTCCAGAAAAAGGTAAGAATCTTGTCGTATTTTTGCCATTTTTTCACAAAAATATGAGGTAAACTTTGATTCTTTAAAAATACACGGCCGTTGCGAGTTGCTATGACTACAGTGTTTCCACGTGCAGAAAAATATTTCCATACTTTTCTCAATTTCTATTTCTCACATACCATCAGATACCATGTACCCTGCAAAACCCCCAAACCACATAAAATTTCTAACAATCATTAACTAATTTCGTTTAACCGAGACGAGGGGTTGCTGCATGCATGTATTTCTAGTTCTTAACTTTAGAAGTTATCTATGGATGATAGCCATTAATAAATTACATTAATAAATTTCAGCATTTTGAAAGTGTGAAGATATTTATTTTGTCACACTTATAATCCTTAATTAGGCAATTGAGTGCAACGAATATGAATTCTTTTTTCAGTGATTGCTCACTGTTTGGTTATATTTTTCTTGTTTAAATGCTACTTTAATCCTGTTGATTTGTTGGGAAACAATTCAAAGACTATTAGTTGCCAAATTTACATAGATATAAGTCAGTTTTTATAGCAATTTATTTATACATTGATACGCATTCAATACTGTTGCCAGAGATGTGGGCGAGAAGCGTTTCGGTAAATATATATTTAAGCCTAATTTAGTGCTTTTAGTAAAGACAATTTCAACAATTTAAAAGTAATAAAAAATATTTCATAGTGATGTTTCGTCTTAACTTAAGACATCTGCTGACTAAGTGATAAATAACATGCAAATTTAAATAATTATGTAGATATTATAACGCGGCCCTTGCTTTTTCCTTTGAAAATTGATAAATATATTATTTGCATTATTAGACTACATTTACTAGAATATTATTTTTATTATTGACTAATAATATTATTGGTTTACATACTAAATTTTCATGTAATTTATCACTTAAGCTGAAGAAGTCTTTTATACACCCAAAATTTTCATAGCAAATCGCAAAATTGGTTACAGTAAAACCATTTGATACTTGCTGGCATTCATGTTATAGAAAAATGTTTGAATTTTGTTTTTACTGATAGTTAATATTACAGATGTTACATTGGAACACCCATAATGTTAATACTATATATAGCATAGTAACATCAACTTTTACAATTATACTAAAGTTATATTTTTGCCCTGTTTACGCACAATTTATTGACACACCACAGCTGAAATTCGTACCTATACCCAATTTTATCTATGCTCAGGCTACCAGTACAAAGGCTGAGCGTGGATTTTAACAATGCCGCACCAATGAATTGAGAGTAGTGTAAAAACAGGACTTCTGTTTTTGATGTTCATTATAGGTATATGACTGCTGCTCTTCCTGCCCTTCAGTTGCACTGTGCAAAATAAGTAATTTAATGACCACTTTGAAAATAAAAAAATAATAAATTCCAAATATATTTTAATCAAGTTTAAAGTGCTCCTGGTAGAAAAATGAATTTTACATTTTTGGAATCTTCGTGAAACGTAGATAATGAAATAGAAATCATAATTGAATTTGAGGTTTTTTTCGCTGAGTTATAGGGCAATGAAATTCAAAATTTTTGAATTTTAACGGCAAAAGTTTTTCAAAACCGCGAAGCCGGAAAACTGGTAACTAATACGTCACAGTAGGATCCGGTTTGGGCATTCGATACATAAACATATAGATAGTACAGACAGATATAGTATAGAACGAGATATTTGCGATCGGACTCGTACAATACTTCTGAAAATGTCCTCATCAAGCTCAGATGCGGAAAGTAATAGCTATCAAAGCGACGACTCAGATTGGAATTCTATTCCCGGTCCATATATAATAAAGAGACAGAGCGAAGCGGCTGCGAATATAGACGACCAAACTACAGACGAAACGTCAGAACTTGGTCCGTATGCCAATGAACCGGCGGCTGACGAAGAGTGGCTCGCTAACTACCGTGAAAAAAAGCAAACTTATGACGAGCGTTTAAAGGAATTTCAACGGAGACTTGATGGTATCGAAGAATTAGATAAATGGTATATTTCCCCGCTTTTATATTTGCGTGTCTTTGCTCTGCGTGACTTAGTTCGTGTGATTTCGCGCAGGGTACGATACGTACAGATTTTATTTCAGGTGAAAGTGTGGCAACTGTCGTATTGAACTCCTTCACAATGCTAAAGAATGTCAGTGTTGCGTAGAAATCGAAGAGCATGTGAAGAAGCGCTGAATAGCGAGCTTGCAGAAGCTGGAAAGGGGAAACCCTCCATCTTGCATTGTCGACCATCCTGGATTTAACAGTGTGTGCTTAGGTCGCTTCGTTTAACGGCAACCAAATTACGCACAAGGAAGAAAGAACAATACCGCCAAACAAGCACAGAAGAAAAGTAAGTACATTATACACATGAAATTTAAATGCACAATCACACACTGACATGTTTAAACATGCTCTATAATTTGTAGGTTCTATCGAAGCACAGTCTACAGAAGTTTTGTGTGGTTGGTTTTTGGGCATCTGGGAAATAGAAGGTATCCCTTACCGGCATGTGCATATGAACGAATAAGACGTCATTTTCCACCTACAGACAATGAAGACTTTGTAGGATTTGTAGAGGAAGAGGATAGCTCCAGACAATTTGTGTATATAATTATATTATTAATGTTATATGTTATGATACTCCAAATTATATATTATTTTAGATAACTATGTACATTTATTGGTGTATATTTACAGCTTTGACCGCACGAAATCAATCCACTGCTTTCGTCTCTTTTTTGCTTCTGGCCTTTCGTCGCCAGAAAACGGTATAAAATGAAGGGAAATTCCTTTCTCTGCATTAGAGGTGTTAGAGCAACCCCCGAAAATACATGTATTAGGCATATTTTTATTTGCATGATTTTTTGCGCCGCCACCTTTCTTTACAACAACATCTGAATAATACACGCTACTGATTTTTGTAATATGAATGAGTCAAACCGGTTCCTATTGTGACGTCACATCAATGATTTTGTTCCAATCCCTTTTGCGCGTTTTTTTTTTGCCAAATTTTATGTTTAAGTGGCAATAACTAGAAGTTATTAACTTCTAAACTAAAGTCGCAATTGCAATTCGGTTTTCGAATAGAGTATACACTGCTAACAAAGATTCTAAAAATGTAAAATTCATTTTTCTGCCAGGAGCACTTTAACTGATTATGTACAATATGGTTAAAAGTGTCACCTACTGCACAGGAGTAGAACAAATAATGCGCAGATACATCTACGCTTACGGGACTTTTTTTCCCTTGCGGTCCTCTGCGATTTCTATCAGTCAACCGCAACCGAACCGCGACCTAACCGCAACCTATAACCGCAACCGCAGTGTTAGGTTATTTCTGGAAACCGTCTCACCGAGGTTTGACCTCAGTCTGACTTCGGTTCAACCGCGATCACACGGTTTTTAGTTTATTTCTGGACAGTATACAGTATTGTATTGCATAGTCATAAAACTAAAAAAAAATTAAATAAACAACACCCTTTTTCCCGCTGCGTTAAACAGCCAGACTCTAAGAACTCATCTAACGGTTAAAAATTAAAATTCAAACATCAAGATACAGTAGTCCCTCGCTAACTCGAACTCCCAAGGGGGAAGAAAAAATGTTCGAGTTACTGGGGGTTCGAGTTAACCGGAGTTGGTGTTAGATTACGTTTATTATACGTAATACAGTAAGGTATAAAATCCAATCGAATCATTCTTCAAGAGATACCATGCCTACCAATATGAATGGTCACCGAGAGTGGACGACGTTTTAAAATTAAAAAGATCGAAAGAATACAGAAGGAACTAAAAAAGCTAGATAAATAACGACCGTGCATGGCACTACCGAAAACCTTTTGAAATTTAAAATCAATTATACACCAATACATTTATACATCGATTAACTTGCATGGATAGTTTAGTTGTTATTTGGATAGTTTCCTGTTGTCAAAATGATATCTTCTCACATTTTAAAATTGCTGATCTATGATTCGAAACCAAAGTTCGAGTTAACCGGATATATTTGACCAAGGGAAAACAAAATTTGTTCGAATTAGCGAGGAGTTCGAGTTAAGCGAGTTCGAGTTAAGCGAAGTAAATTACTATAAAAAACACTGTCAAATTCAAGGGCAATTGGATTTAGTTCGAGTTAGCGAGGAGTTCGAGTTAAGCGAGTTCGAGTTAGCGCCGGGGGACTACTGTAGTACAAAATTCTCAAGGGCTATAAATGCTTTTTTTTCGAATATTTATGCATATAGAGCAGTCGAGTCTAAAAGCTTTGAAGTGATATTTGTTGTATCAAAATTCAAAATTACACTTTGAGACATTCTTTTTGAAGTTAAAGCGATGGTGTAATAGCCGTTACTAGTCGGTTATGTCTTAACAAAAAAAAAACTCATACACAAATAAACTAATAAACTAAAAGAATAAACAAAATAGACACCTACTTGTTTAAACACTTCAAACTTATAAATGATGAATCGTTCCTCTTTCAATGCTAGCTTTGAAAAACTTTTTTTAGTGTTTATATATACTTTTTTTACATTTTAATTCGCGATTTATAAAGTTTACAAAATATGCGCATGCGTATAACTAACAAAACCATGCAACATCTACCGTCCATAACATACAAATTGGACAAAATATGTTCGGTCAAAATACCTGGGTGTAAAAATCAATTCCGGCGGAATTAGTATACCCTAGCTCGCACGGTGCTCCGCTCCGGCACGGGGATTACGCCCAGCCAGCAATTAATGATATTTTTGTCCCCCTCAGGAAACGGAAAAAGAAATGTGCGCGCGCTCTGAACAAATGGGAATACCAAAATATAATAAAATTAATAATGTTGTGATATTTATCGAATGCGGCATGAAAATAATTTGTTTCTTTATGTGGTTGTGAAAGAACTGTCTATTACCAAACGTGGAAAAATGTGTATAAAAGGGTTCTAAAAAGAAGTCCAATTTATTCTTGCAAACCTGGATGGCTACCTAAAGGCAAAGAGTGTTTAACACGTAAGTCTAATTAAAGTGTCACTATTCCTTATAGCATTAGCAAAATCTAAGGCCGTAAGGGCAGATTTGCGCCCAGTGCCGCACGATGACAACTGTGTAGGATTGTGAATTAAAGTTTTAAAACAAGGTAATTACAAAATTGTATGCTATCCTATAACGATTCATGGTCTACTTATTATACTAGCCGTGTGCACAGGTGGTTGTAAGAATGGTGGCAAATGTATCGCTCCTAACTCTTGTCGCTGTGCAATTGGTTGGACAGGATCTCTGTGTAATAGCGGTAAGCATTTTCTATGATTTTTCATTCCTTTATTACAGTGTAGTTATCTATTATAAGTGTGGAATTTAGATTAATTTGACACTGCACACTGGGATAGTGTGATGACTTGAAATTGCGGGAGCTACATGTATCTATAAGCCGCTATATCTTCAGGTTATCCGTGAAAAATTCATTCTCAACAGTTTAAGTCATAATATTTATTTTTTAATCGCATCAAATATTCCTCGTCGGGCGTTTGTAACGTCCAAAGTAAAACGCCCGTCATCAAAGTTGCCATTTATTTTGTTTAGCAAGATGATGGGAAGAAATAGGTAGTTATTACAGTGTAAAGGCCCACACAGACAGGACGCGAATTGGCAACGCGGCGCGAATTTTCAGCGTTTTATATTTTTCAAAAGCAAATAAATTTTAACTTATCAAAATTTTCTTGTAGATTACATAAAAATAATACATTTTAATTGCTCTAGCGTCCATAGATTCCAAATTTTGATCCCAGAATTTAATTTATATGCTTCTGAAAACTGAAAATTCGCGTCGCGTTGCCGCTTCGCGTCCGGTCTGTGTCGACCTTAAATCCGGTGTTTTTCATGCGCGCGATGTTAGTGAAACAAATTTAACTGAATACTTTAGATATCAATGAATGTGCGACAAGTCAGAATCAATGTGGATACAAGCCTGGATGTAGAAACACGCAGGGTAACTACACCTGCAATTGTGCTTCGGGCTATTACTTGAAAGAAGATTTGCGAAACTGCGAAGGTGGGAAATGTTTTTATAAAGCGATATTTACCGATCTGAGGTGAATAGTTGTTTTAGTATAGCAAAGTGATTATTTGAAAACACCATATTTTATAGAAAATATATTTTCAGAAACGTAAACAAATATCTCTACGATGTTTTAGACGAAATAAAGTTGGCCACCGTTCAGCCTCCGATCTTTCACCTCGAAATAATTTTAGGCCTTTTTCACGCTTCTTTCGTCTTTTTAAGTAAAGCATTTTCGTTAGAATCCAAGCTTTTTTCATCTGTCACTGACAAAAAGAACTCCCCCATTTTGAAAATTCCAATTGATGATTTTGTAATTATCCAAGGTCGGCCGACCAATTAGGGGCCATAAATTTCAATAATTGCCTTTCTAATTATATTAATGGTAAATGGTGAATTTCTGATTGTAATGTAAATATTTCTGGTTGTATTGATCTAATAGTAATTGGTGTAATAATAATTGTATATAATAAGAGCTAAATTTTAAAAGTCAAAATTGTAAGCGCTAATTTTGAGCTTAGAAGAGATCGCAGGCATCCAAAGCATGCCATGTGTAAAATGGAGCCCATGCAGTGGCTGACTGAGAAGAATTTTCAGCAGTCTATGACTTTCGTCTAATCGACCTGCGCTTTCTTGTAATGAACTGACGTTACCTGCGATACATTTCGAGATGAAAAATAGAGAAATTCTGGAAGAAAACGGCACAAATAAATGCTGAAAAGGAAATTTAATTGCTATTAAAATTAATAAGATGTCTCCAGACGTTTTTACGTAAACTAAATAATGCAATGTTTCATTTTTGTTTTTCTCAAATGCGTACTAAAACACTAATACGAATTCGTGTATTTCTTGTTTGTTTTAAGTGCAAATGCATGCCTTCAAAAGACCTCGATTCGATATTTCTCGGTTAAGACCGAGTAAGCGAGGTTAATAAGACGTTTTTATCACGGTATATATCGCTATATAAATAATGCATGCTAGAAAAGTAATTCCCACTAGAGTCCATGAAGACCAAAAAGCCTTGCATTTCAACAAGCGCAAAATATAAAAATACAAGACAATAATGTTTCTCGTCACCTCTGACAAAAAATGCGTTTTAGTGCAGCTAATATTAAAGGAAAAGTTGAAGCACTTTCTACGAATTTTTCATTTTTTATCCATGACTGTGTATGTATGCCTAATTTTTGCATTAAGTTATTTTGTTTGCGCGATTAATTTGTCAGCGCTACAAAAGTTACAGTGTTATTTTTATAATAATACATTGATGATAAACAGTATGGAAAACGACGATTATTGTTTACTATTATCACTGTTTTGCAATGGCTTTGTTCATAAAACACCTATTTTCCACTGCCTCTCGCAAAATACACCTTTGTGTGTTTTAGATCTAAATATGGCATGCAGTTACTTAGAATTTTTATATATCTGCTGCCTAGGCTTTCGATTCTGTTGTTTTATTAAACAACGTAACAAAGTATGTTTTTTATAAATCTTATTAGCCGGACTTGGAAACAACTATATATCCCCAATGCAGCATTGCTCTGGAGAGACTAGAGAGTTTGGATCTGACATATAAATAGTATAAAAAATAATTGCTATATTTCAGATATCGATGAGTGTATTGCCGGCAACTATTCCTGTGGAGCGAACTCCAGATGCGTCAACGTTCCTGGAAATTACAGTTGTCCCTGTGTGAACGGATTTGGCATTTTACCGACAAGTAATTCATGTTTAGGTGGGAAAACACGCATAGACCAAAATTTAATAATATATACGACATTTCAACGAGCAAACAAAATTTTTAACATGAGTGATTTAACTTGAAGTGCTAAAGCTTATCTTACTTCGACGAAGGAAAGTTTTGGAAGCGATAAATGCAATTTACTTTAATTTTTAAGTTTTACATTTAAAAATCGAAAATGAATATCTGGAAATTTGGCTGCGGATATTTGAACTAAATTACGCGAATACATTCAATCTATTATTTTACTAATAAAAGCTGGGTCTGAAATTCATTGGGCTTTCAAATATTATAAATCGACATTATCGAAGGGAATGACACTGAGAAAATTAAGAAACAGAGTGAAGTAATGTCGCTAAGTAAAGAAACATTCATGGCGCATTATTGAAACAAGTTAAAGTGCCTATATCACTTGTGGGATCTTTACGGATTTGAATAATCTTTAAATATTTGTTTATAAGTTCTACAACCTTTTTTGATATAATTAAATAGTTTCGAAAATACGTCGGTTGGGGGGGACTGGGACTCACGAATGATTTGCAAACACGCCGTCTTTTATAATGTAAACATGAAGAGTTTCACTGGCGATATAGTTTGCGCTTTTCAAGAAAAAAATGCGGGAACGGTGCGTTGTGTATATTTGTAGCAACTGGGCGAGTTTTTCTCAAAATATTTTACGTTATTGGAAGATCGAAGTAAAATTACAATTGATTATATTATGTTTGACAAGAACTCGGTTCCTGAGTCCCAGGCCCCCGAGCACGACGGAAATTTAGGCAAATCGTCATGTTTAGATGTAAATATTTCCGGAACTGTTTAATTATATGAAAAAGGGTTGTAGAACTTATAAACTAATTTTTTAAGCTCTATTCAAATCCGTAAAGATCCCACAAGTGATATAGGCACTTTAATGGTCATTAGTGATACACCTGAGCGAAACTAAATTTATATTAAATTTTTACAGATATCGACGAATGCAATCCAAGCAGTGGTTATGTGCACGACTGCCAGATGAAGTGTAACAATTTTGTTGGTGGATATAGGTGCAGCTGTAACAGCGGATATAACCTTACATCAAATGGAAAGAATTGTTCCGGTAATAAATTACAAGCTGAGTTACCGCCTTCGCTTATTCCCGTCTAATTCTCTACAAGTGTACGGACCTAAATTTCGTTATATGGTATATATGGTGTTATATCCACTGACTCTTAAAGTCAACGACTCAACCGTGCGGGCAACGCGACAAAACATACATATAATGTTATTTATCGGCTGCGAGGTTCGGATAGAAGAATATTTTCTTAAGGTATCGAAAACTACCTGAGGCCGCAGGCCGAGGGACGTTTTTAGCGGCGTTTACACTGCGTGCTTTGACCTGGCCTGGCCCAGGCCTATGCCTAGATGTGAACATTGTTTACTCGGCCAAGACCATGCAGGCCTGGACCTGTTCTAGGCCACAAAATCCAGGCCAAAAGCACAAGGGGGCCTGGACCAGGCCTGCATGGACCTGACCTGGGGCAAGATTTTGGTAATGTGAACAGGCTTTACCTAATGCTGACAAATTTTGAACTTAATAGTATGACGTGTATAGGATACATATAGTATTACCACTTTTTTACAAGTATTTTGTATTACAATTACTTTGGCTGTCCGGTATGGTAGGTACTCTAATATAGGTCAGTGGTGTGAACGTGGAACATATTATACCTATAGGCTTGTCCTAGACCTGGTCCAGACCTGGTCCGGCCAAGTCCAGGCCTGTAGTGTAAACGCGGCTTTTAAGACCCAAGAGAAATATTTTTCTATCCGGACCGACCAAAACAGTAAAATTAATATTGATAACTGTGGAATCAGACTCATGAACAATCAAAACCTCGTTCGTTTAATTTATCAAAATTCATTTTAATTTAAATGAGGTTTTGATTGTTTATGTTTTTGTCGCTATTGCTTAGCCTGACTGCGCGCTCAATGATAATACGACCAAACGCCGAAGAAATACTTTTTGTAAAAAAATAAATACGTTATTTACATTCTTGTTCGGTCCCGATAGAAAAATATTTCTCCTCAATCTCAAAAACGTCCCGGTTTGGTCTACGGCCTCGGGTCGTTTTTGAAACCACGAGAAAATATATTTTTTATCCGGACCTTGCAGCCGGTAGATAACATAATTATATGTATAATATATATTAATTGTTTGTATATTATATGAATTGCTGCCTCGATATGCTAATTATTTATATGTGTATAGAGATGTTAGCCTAGAATTTCTAGAATCTATTTCCCTAAATTCCCAATGTCACTTTTTCCATCCTTGTTATAGATCATGATGAATGCGAGGGTAATGTGCACGGATGTGAGCAACACTGTATAAACTTGCCTGGAGGTTACACGTGTTCCTGTTTACGAGGATATAGATTGAATACTGAAGATGCGAAGACATGTGACGGTATTATATATTATAGCTCTCATTATTGAAAAAGTGTATTATTACCAGTTTTATTTTGACCCTGATGATCTACAAAAATGCCCCGTTTTTTTGGCAAGTTTCATCACGTTTTCACCTCGCAAGCTATTAGACTATTAGCGAATGTTCCAGATCGAATTCCACTCGTTTTCTTTATAAGAAATACGCCATCCGAAACACAGTGTTTTGCGAATAAAGTGTCGTAGCATCTTAAGTACATCTAAAACAATTATTATTTTAGCTGCCTCAGCATTATAGTACTTAGATTTTCAGGAAAGATTTCGCTAACCTCGCGCACACGATGCGAATTACTTCATGGTACTTTCTCAAAGATTGCCCCTTCTTAAATTCCCTGTATAATACCTTTGTCGTCCTTTCCCTGTGTTATAGCTATTGAAGCGTAATATTGAAGCGTATATTAAATCTTCAATCCTGTGCAAACTGCGACGTGACAACGCGAATCTACATGTATTAAATATATTCTTACCCCAATCAACCCGTTGCTCACGCCGGAGTAAAAAACAAACGAAAACAAGACTAAACCTAGGTGATTTTTCAAACTCCAGTAATAATACAGCAATATGCTGTAGCTAATTAAGTTTTACATAGATCGTCGAGGAATTTATGAGTATTTCTTTCTCTCTACAGAGATAAATGAATGTTTGGAGAATATATCCGGGTGTGCTCAAGATTGTACGAACACAATTGGTGGCTTCAATTGTTCATGTAAAAAAGGCTACTTCCTCGGCACGGATCAAACGTCTTGTATTGGTAAAGTATCTCTGCATATATTTCAATATAAAAAGTACTGCTTTATCGAATCATTCACCTTATCACTATGCCAAAAAAATTAGCTGAATACATCATGTCACGAACTTGTACGAAAGCTGGATAGTGATTTTTTCAACCCCTGTAAACATGAACATCCGTTAAAGCAATGAAATTAAAGGTTTGAAGGAATTAGAGCTAACAGTCCCCTGGAATAGTTGTTTTCTTATTCTTATATTCAACTTCACTGTTCTAATTCGAGCTTACATTTAACGGCAGATATCGACGAGTGTTCAAAACAAGTGGATTACTGTCACCACATATGTTCAAACACTCCAGGGAGCTACAAGTGTTCCTGCAGGGAAGGGTTTGATCTACGTCTTGATGGAAAAAGTTGTATAGGTATAACTTTATAATTTAAATTCTTCAATAGAGAAATTCAGCATGAAAGTAGGAACTGTTGGAAGCGAAAGTTCGAGTTCGAGTTCAGGTTTAAAGATGAGGTAAAGTCCGTTCTGCGTATATATTCCGCGCAGCAACACATTCCATCAGTGGGGGAGCAACTTTTAGAATGTTAATGATATGCGATATTAGCGTTGTATTACAAACGGACAGTTCGAGTCCTGGCTCGAGTCCTGGCTCGAGTCCTGACTTGAGTCCTGACTTGAATCCTGCCTCGATATTTAGGTACCCTCGTTCGGGGAGCACAATTATTTTATTTTATGTCGCAAAGCGAAGAGGCTCGAATTGCGAGTGACGAAGATAAGGCTGCTAGAGAAAAGCAATATTATGCTGAAAGGAATGCTCCAAGAATTTATTTGTTGAATGAGGACGCGAGATGGCGAGGCTATTTGTCGTCGCTACAGACGCTACCTTCTCGCTTGTCCTACAACCGGTTTATTTACTACAAGCTTCGCTTTATAAAGCTTCGCTTTATATTTTCTTCAAAATATAATAATATTTTCCTCAAAATATAATATAAAATAAGCATATTCATCACAGATCACAGCCGGTCGAGCGAGAAGAAAATATGAAAATTAAAACGACACAATCGTACGCATACGTCATGAAAAGATTATATAACCAACGTAAACAAACATTGTTATGCGCAGAATATATGCGCAGAACGGACTTTACGTCATCTTTATTGTAAATCGGGATAGTGTGATTTATTCCTACTGACGGAATATAGTGAAGTTACAAAAACTAGATGCAATAACTTTTTTATATTTAAGAAAAAAAACAGGTTCACAGGTGAAAAAGTACATTTAGGCTACTACAGTACTTTAAATTAAATTAAATTATAGTAACAGTGATTTTTTAAGAGGATCCCTCGTCTATACTATGCATGGTTCCTCTTATGGCTCGTCTCTTCTCTCTTAATTTCTTTTAACCATCTTATGGACAGGTCGACCATGTTTTCCGTTACACAAACCTGTAAATGGAATAAAGAACTGTACTGGTTACAGGACGGATGATAGATGTAACTTTGGCTGTCTGCATGGCTACAATTTAATTGGCTCCGTGGACAGAACATGCGGCTCAAATAAACAATGGACGGGAAATGATACCAAATGTAAAAGTACGTTTTAGTGGTGTATTGTTAATTATTATACGGCAAGCGTAAATTTCGGTGAAATGAGGCTCAGTGATTGGCTGAGAAGAATTTGTTTTCAGCGGTCATTACTTTCCCGTAATGGACCGGTGTTACCGGCGATCAGTGGCGTCGCCAGCATCGATAAGTGGGGTGGACATATTCATATATTCATGTTCAAAGACCGTTAAAACAATAAATTTGAAAAGAAATGAATAATGTTAAACACGAATATATGAATAAGTCCCCCCCACTTATCAAGCTAGCGGCGCCACTGCCGGCGATCCATTACGAGATGAAAAAGAGAGAAATTCTTAGTGGGGGAGGCACAAATAAATGCTCAAGAGAAAATTTAGTTGCTTTTGAGATTAATAAGACGTCTCCAGAGCGTCTTATCAATAAGACGTCTCCAGACGTCTTCAAGTGCAAAACATGCCTTATGCCATATAAGAAACTTTTTATTAACTACATTTTAAATAGTTTATACACCTTCCATCTTTAATTACTACTCAACATGAAACCTTAACTCCAGCAAGTGAGAACAAATCTGCCTAATATTTTCAAGGGTGAGTGCGGCCTCGTTGAGTAGCCATTCACACTCATACTCAATTCTCACTCACACTTCAGATCCACTTGAGTGCATCTCACTGGAATCGCACTCAAGTGTGAGTGAGCTTTTAGAATACCGGGTTTTAGAGTATGCTTCAATTGTACAGGAAGGCAATATCGTGCTGCCAATTGTAAAAGCAAACTCAAATGCCAAAGAAACATTATATCTCCTTTTGTGAACAATTAGAAGAACAATTGTTGGTTGCAGGCAATGACCAGCCTCGTCCCCGGCGCGGCGGGGGAACACGCGTGGGTCAGTGGGGAAGCTCTCGCGGGCGGAGCGCCTGGCAGAAAATGCATTCAAGATGGCGGCCAAGCAAAGAAATGAGCAAGTATTTCTTAAGTTGACAGATCAGTAGTGAGCGTTCTTTGCTGGACACAATGCGAAGACCAATATTCGATGCGTTTATTGGAGGAAAGGTTTTGTGTGGGAGAGAAGACTGTGTCAAAAATTAAGATGTAACAAAATGTAACAAAATACACTTCTCTTCGATTTCTGTAGAATGGCTTGCATTTTCTGCCAGGCTCCATTTCGTGTTAAAATCCCTGCGCGCGACATTCCCCACGCGCACGTAATGGAGCCTGGGGACGAGGCTGGGCAATGACGCGAACACACGAGTGACGCACCCGGTCGTGATAGTCGAAGTTGAAGGTGTTAAGTGTAGAATCTTACTTGACACAGGCGCAGGCAGTTTCTATGCATCTGCTGCACTTTTGGATCGTATTTTAACGAGGATGTCGAAGAAAGATACCCGGAAAATCAACATGATGCTCAGTGTGACAGCGAGGGAAGTCGAATTGTCGACCTTTGATATCAAGTAAAATTTCTGTCAGTAGAAGTGACCAATGTGAACAAGGGGGAACTCTTATTCATAGACAATCCGAGATATCAGCACATGATTGAGCAAAACCCACACTTAAAAGGAGTCGTCATGGAGGACATTGACGAGAAAGAGCGACTGCTGGTTCACATCATTCTGGGAGCGAGCGACTATGTGAAGTTCGAAACTGATCTGCCCCCCAAGGTTGGCCAACCAGGCCAACCAGTAGCAGATTTGTCACGGTTTGGATGGACTATTATGTCTTCCGGGAAGGAATCTTGCAACATAACCAACATGCTTTTGACTCAGACATCCCAAGCCGATTACGAAGAGCTGTGTTGTCTAGATATCTTGGCTTAAAGGATACACCTACTAATGACCAGTACAATGTGTTTGATGAGTTCAAGGAACAACTCACCCGGGACCATGCAAAGTGGTTGGTAGGGGACAGGCCTCCCATGGCGTGGCAACCACCCTCCATTGCTCAACAATGAATCTTACAGTTTGCGACAATTAACAAGTTTAACGAACAGACTTGAGCGCCAGGGTTTAACAAGCAAATACGGGAAGATAATCGAGGAACAAAAATCAGAGGAGATAATCGAAAACGCATAACAGCTAAGTATATGAAGAGAATACCACACCTCCCACAAAGCAGTTATTCAACCTGATGCAGAATCTACAAAAATCCGAATTGTATATGACGCTCCTGCAAAAGCACGTAACGGTATTCCATCGCTGAATGAGTGTCCAAATTCCGTCCCCCGCTGCAAAATAAGTTGTGGGATGTGTTGGTTAGGGGGCGCTTTCATCCAGTGGCTTTAACGGGCGACTTGCAAAAGGCCTTTTTGCACGTACGTACTCGTGAAAACGACCGAGACGCGCTTCGCTTCCACTGACGTAAAGACCCGCAAGGAGAACTAAAGACATTGTGATTTACCAGGGCTCATTTCGGGCTGGTGTCATCTCCTTTCTTGGTGAGGGGAGTTATCGATATACACCTGAGTAGCTGGGAAGAAATGGAGCCTAAAGTAGTAGAAAAACTTCGTGAGAAGTTGTACCTGGACGATCTGATATCAGGGTCAACCACCGTCTCAAAGACGACAGAAGTAAAAGAGAAAGCAAATTCACAAATGGCACTCGAATGAGCGAAAATTGGACCCACGTTCAAGATGGTGATCCTATACCTACTCGAAACAGCAATTAGGGACCCAGAGACAGTAGCATGCTAAGATTAGTAACAGTAGCATTCTCGGACAGGCGTGGAAAAAGGAACGAGAGACATTGGCGGTTACAATGCCCACTACATTATAGTGTTGACTAAACGAGGCATCCTGGCAAAGTCGACAAAGATATATGACCCGTCGGGTTTCGTGTCTTCTTTAACACTCTCAGGTGAACTTATCTACCGTGCAGCACGCGACACCAAGCACTACTCTCAGATAAGGTTGTGGAATAAGTGGAACAGTGCACTTCCAGTACAAGTGGAAACTCCACGATCTCTGGTAGTTTATCAAGAGCCAATGAAATCCATTCAACTGCACTCATTCGAAGATGCAAGCGGTAACAGGGTTGTTGCGTGTGTTTATGCGGTATTTGAACAAGAATCGGGAACCGACCAGGGCTTGGTCGCGGCGAGATCAAGATTATCGAATGGTAGCGGCGCACATGGCTGCCAATTTGCCTTCAAACGTGAAAGCAGCGTTGATCAGTTTTCCAGTGATGAATGTTCAATGTTGGTCAGGTAGCTTTACATTGGATTACAGGAAGCGGGGAATACAAGCAATTCATGGAAAACAGAATTAACAAGATTAACGAACACCAAGGAGCTGTGCATGTGGCGACACGTTCTTTCAGCATCAAACCCTGCTGACCTTGCAAGTAGAGGAGGCCAAGTAGAAATGGCAACCTTATGGTGGAAGGGTCCTGACTGGCTGCCTAACACAGAACTTTGGCCAGAAAACATAGTGACGGAGCCAACAGCAGAAAGCCGTTACGAAGTCATACGCTCATGGTTTTGCTAAAGAGTACCCCAAAAATGGCGGCATATTCGTCATCGTGAGAAAGGCTAATTGGAGTGGACTACGGCGGTCCTTTACAATACCGAGTATCCAAAGGACAGGAAGGGAAGCAAATATACTGTTCTATTCCTGTAGTTTGAAGAGAGGAGTTTATATGGAACTTTTGCCCATGTTAGAAACGACGGATTTTCTCGACGGCCTAAAACAATGCACGAAGAGGGAGACCAAAACGAATTTACTCTGACAATGAGAAAACGTTTATCGGCGCAGCAAAATGGATCAGAGCCGTGGCGAAGGATGAAAAATTACAAAATTACGTATCGATCAGATGATAAGATGGCAGTTTAACCTGAGTCGCACCCCACGGTGGGGAGGTGAATTCAAAAGGATGATTGGGTTCGTAAAAGCACGCAGCATTGAGTATCGGGGATGGTTATCTACGATGGAAAGAGTTGCAGGAGGTCTTGCCTGATGTCGAGGTGACATTAAATAACCGCCCGCTCCCTTACGTAGAAAATGATGTTCAGTTTCCTGTGTTAACACCAAATTCAAAGTTGTTTTTGAATAGTAATATTCTACCTGAATTGCAGCCACATACCATTGAGGACGGTGACCTTCGGAAACGCGCAAAACACTTGTTGAAATGTAAAGACGTGATTTAGAGAGGGTGGACACAGGAATATTTGCGAAGTCTTCGGGAAAGGCACATCCAGGACATCGGGGAGCAGTACCAGTACCAAAAGATGGTAAAATCAGTGGAGACAAAGTACGGACAGAAAAGTCGCAAATGGAGCGTGCTGTGCAACATCTCTACCCGCTTGAGCTCTCGGTAGACAAGAAGGAACCAGTTCCAGCAATACTCAATGCAGAAGCAGAGACATTCAGACCGAAAAGAGGTGCTGCAGTTGCGGCAAAATTTCGAGTTCAGGATATCGCAGCGGATGAACAATCGACGTAATTTAAAGTGAACATTCCGTAGATACTGAACTGTGAACATGCAATCAGAACTATTCCAGAAAACTGACGTTTATTATAGTTACATCCACGATCAATCTTTGGGTTTAATGGAGAACTACATTTATCTCGATGGACTGATGAATGGGGGAGGGTGTTGGGGATTGACTTTATATGTTATTTATTATATTATTATTCACGTGCATGCCTATATAGAGAAACCGGAAGTGTAAAAAAAGCATGTGGTTACATTTTCGGTAGAGAGAGAGAATTTTGAGATTTTGTAGTGGGCAAGGAGATTTTTGTGAGTGTTGTTAGATTTTAGAGGCGAGTTTACGACAAGGCGTAATAGATCGGATCTCACGAGCTAAACAGAATCCCGCTTGACTTTTTCATACTGTAGCTATGGAATAATGTACTGTACTTTTTACCGAAATAGACAATATTTATGCTTTCTGATCGGATTATTGAAAAGGTAAACAAATTTGCTGATTGGTTTAAAACGTTATTCTTCCTAGTTGCCGCGGCAAGAAATTGACAACTAACTTTAGCAGAATTTCGAACCCATGTCCTCGTATATGCAAAATATATCGGTACAATAACTGCAGCGCGGTGGCAATGGTTCCGTTTTATTCTCAAATGGCGAGGCTATATATCCAACGGTTGTTGATATAACACTTCCTGCACAACATCTTACATATAAAATGAAAATATATTTTAAAGTTGAATACCTTTGAACAATAATGAATGATTATGCATATTATTTAAAATACCCTATTACGCGTGTTATGCAATTCGCTAACAAATCCGATCTTATGCATATATATTTTCACGTTCTATTTGTCACTGCTTTTTGATGCACATATTAGCTGGCTTTACTGCTATGACTACAAAACGATGTACCTTACTTATTATCAGTTTTTCATTACTAAAAATGCAATATCCCTTCGCCTGAAGCACTTAACATATATTTTCAACAGTGAAATGTTCTCGAGTTATCAAATTCAACTGTAAATGTGCTGCGAATAGTTTTAAATACTATTTTTAGCGAAATTTCAACTGCTTTTTCAACCAGATTCACCTTTATTAAACTTACTTTGAAATAACGGAAACAATAACAACTCCGAAACACCTTTTACATTCCTTTTCAATCAATTTTCGGAGACAAATTTCTATATACTTTCAAGATGATTTGAGATTAAAAATATAATTTCTAAAAATTTTAATTAAAATAGAAGCTATGCCGCGTGGACCAAAACCTTAATTTAGCCAATCGCACGTTTGCAACGTTTGCTACTTACGAGATTAAACTCTTATTGAACACATGCATGCCCGTATAAGTTACAGAAACGCCCAACCTCCATAAGATGATGGCGGACAACTTCAATTGTTCATTTAATTTGCATTCCCAGGCTCAGGGATTACTTTCGAAGTTGTAGCATAATTATAAAATTTGTTAATTTTTTAAAGTTTTTAATTTCAGTAATTCATTGCGTAAATGCCAAAAGACCGTCCAATGGCTTCGTGTACTCCCCGTGTTCCACTCATTATGGCTCAAAATGCTCGCTTGGCTGCAATGATGGGTATCGCATTAACACTGACGTAATTACCTGTGATGCTAATGGACTTTGGCAACCAACCAATGTTTCCTGTGAAGGTTAATTTCAAATACTAATCATGAGACTATAGATATATGACTATAGATATTCATGCAACGACGAGGACCATTAGGGATTAATAGTACGAATAATGCTTAAAGTTTTGATCAAGTTAACACAAGCATTATATTTCTTTGCCAAAAAGCAGTCCTCTCCATTCGTTGGTATTTTCGTTTAGCGTTCTAGTCTCTCCCCTGCTTCCTTTGAGGAATGCAAACACATTTCGACCATTTACACGTTATTTAAAATTCTAGCCACTGATTGGTTGAAAGACCTCGAATTATTACGCAATACAGCGGATTTTTTAAAATGGCGGCGAGTTGTTTTACAAAATTTAAGCGCCTGATAAAATCAGAAATTTTAAAGAAATTGTTGCAACTAAAACAATGTACGCAAATGCGTAAAAATCCCCGAATAAAAACTTTGTTATAGAGCAGTGCATAAATTTATTTTGCATAAAACATGGTTTTATTTTAAACAGTGGCGTAGCCAGAACGATAATTGGGGGGGCTTATATTCATATATTCGTGATACGCAGGTTTAATTTTTTTTCAAATCAATTGTCTTTACAGTCTGTTAACATGAATATATGAATATGGCCCCCCCAATTATCGAAGCTGGCTACGCCACTGATTTAAAACCTCGTAAAATTGTCAAGATATAAGTATCAGCGCCCCCCCCCCCCCGATATATTTGAAATATATAAAACACGGTACAAATAAGGCTAACTGTCCTTATTAAGCTTTTGCAAATTACAAGCGTCCTACGTGGACGATTTCATTAAATCGCAAACAAATCATATTAATTTAATCTATATTTATTTTTCAGAGATTAAAGTTTGTCGACCCAACCCCTGCTTTCATGAAGGAAAATGTTCCATAGTCAATGGGGACTCCTATAAGTGTGACTGTTCCAGCACTGGATACATAGGCAATAACTGTGAAGTCGCTTATTTTACAATTTTTGAGTACCCCATCATATTCCCCGATGTTCTGTCGCCACTGATAACGATCATTGCATCACAACCAACCGACCAGGTCATACTACATCTGATTAATCGTAATCTTGAATTCACTCCATCTGTGCTTATTTTTCATCGCAATAGTTCATTGAATCAGTCTATAACGGTTAAAGCTAAAAAAGAAGGGCTTTATTTCATAAAGTATTCGCTATCTGGTCCAAGCGCGGGAGAATATTCTCTGCCTGAAGAAGATACTCTATTTGTGAGCTCACCTAAAAATTCAACCGATACTTTTCAAATGGGAAACAACATATTTCCTTTTCCAGCTGGTTGCCACAAAAAGCAAATCGGAGTCGTTCATGGATCAAAACTTCCCATTGTGGTTTCTTCAACATCTTCTTTCGTTTCTTTTGGACCATTGTCAGTGACCGAAGGCATAGTCGGTATTGATGTCAGTGACTCTAGCAAACTACCTTTATCCCTAGTTGGTCTAAATCTACCTAACACAAGCATAATTTCTGATGCGACCACCTGTGTCGACAATGACGTCGTTCCTTATAGTATAGGGTCACTCTTAAGATCACGTGTTCTGGCTAAATCTTTCATTGATGCCATAAAGAATAGCTTGCCATCGTGGATAAAAGTTACGTTGAGTGAGGCAAATTCGGTTAAAACGATGTACTCCTCGGAAAAGAAGACGTACTTCCTAAATGGAAAAAATATGCGCACGGCAAGCATCGGGAAAGGTCTACCGGTAGTCGACGAATCGTTTTATTCCATGCTTTCCACAAACAATTTGAATATAACCGTGGAGAACAATACTGATATTTTCAAATCTAGGCTGATCGCTTTGGCTGTGGAACTGGACGGAAAATTGCCGTCGAATGTTCTCTTGCGTTCTTCTTTGGAAAACGACGTTATTAAAAACATATCTTTTTTGACGCAGATTGAAAAGTTCGGGTGGAGTTTTGAATTTTTTTCCCTTCAGATTTCCAAGAACAATTCAATAGAAAGGCCAAAAAAGAATGGCTTTTGGGACGGTGACAAATTCTTCAACGTTAAATCTTCGTCAGACGGTACGTTTGCAGCGGTAACGTCGCTTGAAAAACATTTCAAGAATACAACTTTCGCCGCTGATTTAAGAATGCAATTTGATGGAACTATCATTGCTCATGTGGAAGATATTAACAAGGTTTGGAAAATTTTTTCTATTGGAATAATGATATTAATAATAATATTCTCTAAATTTACCGTTTTGCTAATTAAACTGTTCCGGAATTTCTGCAGCATTCGAGGTTGTCCGCGAATGCTCGGAAGTAGTGATTTAATAAATAGCAAAAATGAGGTGAAGCTTGGGGGGAGCTTGAATAGAAAATTTATTAAGCTTCTCTATTTATTTCTTATTTATCTCTGCTCCTGGTGCGGATTTAAGCTTCTGGTATGTATTAACCGATGCCTTTCAATTTTCTTTTAGATCTTAGATTCCCCGTTATATCAGCAATGGGATGTTGACCTATATGGTAAAATAACTCTCACGATTTTATTCCAAATGCAAGGAAAGACGGTCAACCTCCGTTTCAAAGGACAAGAATCAGTTAATTATGCTGATTTCGGAGGTATTAACATACTGTATTCGTACTTTTGTCATTCATTCTTCTACAATGTTTTAGATTCTTAAATTTTATCTAACATAATACATTTCTGCATCGTGGCTGCGTTCCCTATATTGGGACTTCCGAAGGTGCGCTTATAATTGAAAAGTTATGTGTAGCTATTTGCAATTGCATATTCAGATCCACCGTATAGTCTATTAAAAATAATTTAATCGAATCTGGCACCTATCCTGTATCGAACGTTCTTCACGGGTTATTAATGATAGCTAGATCTCGTTTTTATGCTAATTTAGGACGATAGCAATTTAAACCAATAAACAGTATTAATTGAGTTCGTATAAAGCGGATGATCTAGAGGTTAAAAAAATGGCGATTCAACTTACGTTGCCAACAGCCTGTATAATATAATTATGAGAACACAGCAGTGCACTGCTATGATAATTAGTAAAATATTTCCAATAGTTACACGAGGGGGGGGGGGCATATTCATGCTCCATTTTGACAGACCGTAAAGACAATTTATTTTAAAGAAATTAATCTTGCGTGTCACGAATATATGAATATGGGCGCCCCAATTATGGAACTGGCTACGCCACTGATTTCTATATTTGTTTCTGTAGGCAGCAACGAAATACAGCAAGGAAAAAAAGGATTCTTTCTCAGGACTATTATGGAAAAAGATCCATTTCTTAACACGTCCTTTGAAACATTTCTCGATATGAGTGCCAATAGGACAATTTCATGTTTTCTTGACACCGACTTGTATAAGGAGAAGAATAGTTTTAATCATGTAGAAGTTTCCAACGGACTAAGTTGTGTCTTTCGCGGCAACTTAAGAATTGGTGATTTAAAATTTCAGCCAATGCAGTTGAATCTTCTTATGGGCAGACCACTTCGTAATAATAACAATGCCGAAAGTGCTAACAAGTCAACCGACGACAGTGTTCACCTCATTGGATCGTACGCCGAATCGAAAAACGAAACATTTGGCATATTCAAACGCTATCCTGGTGGGTGCATGAACGTTCGATATACATTTTCACGACATTCTCCAAACTTTGCAGGATCGTTCTGTGCAATTTCTAAAATTTTAGGCGTGGAGAAGTTGTTAAATGTTAGCATTTCGTACGAAGGATTAAAGTTTAAAACTAGTGGTAAATTGCACGGATTATTCGATGCGAGTATGGATTGCTCGTCTAGACTATTGCCTTGGGAAAATCAAATCTTCAATGTTGAGGGTCGATTTGAAAGAAACAAAGATGGAACCGATTTTGCGACTGCGTTACAGAAAGAACTTGCTTCATTTGCGAAAAACATTATATCGCAGGCCTCAAAGCGTATAGAAGCAGTCGATGAAACAGTCAAACGGGCACATACTAGATTAGAGAAAGTACTGCTATTAAAGACAAAATCACTGAACACGTTACAGCAACTAAACAGCGACTACGCGTCAATATCGGAAAATTTAAGAATGGCCCAAATCCGTTTAAAATTCCTCAAAATTCAGGCAAGGAATTATTCGAAAGAGCTTGATCAATTAAGTTCAGATTTAGATGGCATGTGCAAGGTGAAAAAGTGTCCGAAGGTTTGTCACAAAGGCGTGTCCTGTACAACCTGCTACGAATACATTATTGGAAACTCTATGGGAACGTGTCCAGCAACTTGTTCCCATACAAAACAGCACCGTGTTCCACCTCTTTCTGAAGTTGCATCTTGCGTTAAAGAAAACTGCAAAAGAATTCATAGCACCAATGGATTTTTCAAAATGGTATTTGGGAAGAAACTTGGAGGAGTCATGAAAGCGGGCTTTTCGATCGGCATAAAATTTCTGGCTACCGGACTCGGAGTACCACCACCACTTGCTGGCGCTATAGCAGGTGGTCTCACAACACTGGTAGATACTGGAAGAGTCGGAGATGCAATTTGTGCTTCAATACGGGGAGCTCATGGTGGAGCCATAGCTGGAGACAGTTCTCTACCTTTTTTGATAAATTTTTCAAAGGAAACCGCAGTTAAAATTGGAAGAATTCTGCCGGGGGGCTTATGAAAATTCTTTAAGATGCCACCGAAAACAAAAGGATGGAAAATGGGACTGCAAAGACGAGAACGTACCATGCGTTAGAGGAAGATACGAGTACAAATACACACATACCCCGTACATATGCAAGCAACCGTGCTTGATAGAGAGAATTTCGAAAACGATTGAAAAAAGCTGTTGCAGAAACGTGTCCTGTGCCTCCTTTGTCGTTAATGTTACCTGTGTTGCGGAGAATGTCCTTTGTAAAAAGGTTAGAGTTTATGAATTACAGAAAATATCAAAAACGCAATTGAAGGGGCAAATATCTTAAAAGATTTGGAGTATACAAAGTCAAACATTTCTTTCTGGAATATAAAAAGGCAGAGAATATATAGTGTCCTAGCAAGAGAGCAACGTTGGTTAAATACGACAGAAAAAGCTGCCAAAAACCTTCAGAAAGCATACGATAGAACAATCGAGGCCAAAGATAACCTTGTCGGTATGCTGTCCGCACCTCTAAGAATAAAATCGCTATTCAACGAAAAGTTGAGTTCATTTGATGGAATAAAGTTAATAGATATACGCTTTGAAACAAAAGTTTTTGGCAAAGACAACAGTAAATTATTGCCGGTCGCTATCTCATTTCAAGCGAATGGAACACTGCGACGGATATCAACCGTACTCGATTTTTCTCAACTCAACGTATCTCTTAAAAGTATATCTGAAGAAATCGTGCGTGATGTAATTGGGAATATTTACAGTAAATCAAGAAGAAGACGTTCAGTAGTAGACACCCGCACGTTTGAACAAGATCCGTTTCTTCATTCTCTTAAGAAATACCACGCTTATTGCGCAAATTTCAAAAATTACCACGCAATGTTATATAACGTGGCCATATCACTTTACAAATTGTCTTCGGAAATTTGGTCTGTTGAAAAAGAATTATCCCAAAGCGAGAAGACAAGTTTAAATTTGACTAATCTGCTAGCATCATCCAAGTTTTCTTGGAATCAAACAACGTCTTTCAACTTTACTTTGGATGATCCTGAGATGTCGGAGGCATTGGAGCTTGAATCAGAAGAAAAGAGACAAAACTATGAGGAATTCAATTCCACAAATAAGCTTCTTGTGCAAAACTGGTTTGTTGCCATGGAAAGCATGTTCAATTCTTCACGCCTACATTACGAATGTAGTGGAATGAAGGATTGTATGCTACATATTCTCGATAGCTTGGCCCAAATGTTCTCTGTGGTTGAGACGGAAACGGCAGGTCGCATTCGACGTCAGATCCCAAGTCTTAGGACTGCACTTGACGATTTATCAGATTCCTTCGATATTTCTATTCACGCAGCCTTGAATGTGTCGTCAAGGATTTTGGATATATTGAAAGAAATGACTGAGCTGGAGGACGTTTGCGCTCAATCCCCTAACATTACAAGACATCCAGACCCTGTTACTGAATTAAGAGTTGGAAAAAAATTGGTGCTGAACTGCAACGCTACTGGAACGGCGCTAATATATTCTTGGACATTCAACGGGGAGGTTATCCCGCATCAAAGATCCAACGTGCTAGTCTTAAAAAATACAACCACATCAAACAGTGGAAATTATACGTGCATCGTGTCCAACCACATAGCGATAGAAAAATCAATACCTGCCGTTGTTACAATCCATCCTCCTCCAATCATTACCGACCAATCTGAAAGGTTTTTGGCGGTTGTAATAGGCGAGGATGACGAACTTCAATGTAAAGTTAAAGAGACTGACAATTTTATCTCCCACGAATGGTGGTTTAAACCTGCTAATTCTTCATCATTTGAAATACTGTATAACGAAACCTTTTCGTACCTGGGATTTTCACCAATGAAACGCGAAAACGAAGGCTGGTATTTCTGTCGAGTTTCTAATGCGTACGGTGTAACTTCGTCGCGCGTAAGTTTTGTTAAAGCCCTGTCTTTTACTCTTCCCGTACCATCAGCAGTCCTGTCGTTTTCTTTGATCAAACAAGCGGATCGAGGCAATTCAAGTGTTGAATCATCAGGTTATAAAGTGATTCAAAATTTAATTCTTAAAAATGTCTTCCTCGGATTCTATGGCGATGGTCTTCACGTAAAAAACTTACGAACAATCGACTGTCAGTTGGGAAGGTCCAAAAATGATACCGAGGTTGTCGGGATATGTTCTTGGAAATTTCAATACGTTGGTAAAAATATGACCACCAACACTACCGTTCACAACGATTTTAAAGATAACGCCGAAACAGTTGTTAATGCTTCTCAGTCACTAAACGAAAGAATGAGAGAGTTAGTTAAAGCAACCAACAATGGTTCACTGTATTTTTCGATAATGACAACGTGTATTATGCAGAGAAAAATAGCATTGCTGTTCACAAATTTTCATTGATGTGCCCAAATTCTCAGGTCCTTGTTCAAAGAGATTTTAAATGCGGTAAGATGCACATAGTCAATACAGAGTGTTTAAAAATATGAAATTTAATTTCAACATGTATCATGCTCAATGAGTGTACATTGAAATTTTACATAGAAAGAGAAAGACCATTTAGCTTTCAACCATTCCTTTTCATGCATTAATATAGTAAGAACTAAAAATCGTGTGTAAAAATTTGCAGGTCAAAAACCAAAAACGTCCACCGCTTAACCATGATAAATGGACATGTTTATTGGAGAATACCTGCATAATATAATGAAATTTGTCTCAGATTTAGAAATAGCTTAAGATTTTGAAACTCTCGGGTGGCACAGAAGTGAACTGGTCATGAAATATGAAATTTTCGTGCAAGAAATTTTTCCGATATTTTAAAATCACTAGTGAAATCATGAATAATTAATGAGTCTAACTTCCAATCATTGCGCGGTATCACAGTAGGTCACATGTATAAATTTGCATGTAATTCTCCATAAAGGTCTTATGATTTGGTAATTCATATAATAAATTTGATACAACTAATCTCAATTAGTATTCAAATAACTTCATATGTCACATCATTATCTATTCATTTCACAAGCACGTTAAAATACTCGCGGCCGATCTGTATGGGGTTCACAATTGCGAGTGCGTAATACCCATACAGATCGCCCGCTCGTATTTTATTAATTAGTATCTGTCGTACTTGCCATGTTAAAATCTGAATAGAGAAGGGATCTCAAAAGCCATAAGAGCTACTACCTCTTGTTAGTCTATTCGCAAACAATTTAAACATGCATGTCTGGTTATTTATTTTTTCTTCCAACTATTCCTTTTCTACTTATATTTTAAAAAGTGGATTGTCCACCGGGATACCATGCTGTATTTAACACTGAAGAAATAGCGTCATGCATACCTTGTCCATTGGGCTCCTATCAATCGGAATCAGGCAAAATATCTTGTGATCGTTGTCCCAGAGGATTTACTACCTGGAACGCAGGATCATATGATCATTCGCAATGCAAAGGTAAGATATTTTGCTGTTGGGAATATTTATTTGCATAATTTCGCAAATCTTCAAACCAATAATCTAAAAATATAAACATCAACCTGCTGTATTTATTGTACAAATTATTCTCGTTGGTGTGTCAATATGTTATTTTCAATTTTCTGATAGCGCGGTGGAAATCGAACCTATAATTAATTTTCAGAACTGGTTGATATTTTGTGGGTGAAAAATCTCTTTGTAATTTTATGGATATCTTATTATGATAATTTACCCTACTGTATCAAATTATATATAGTACAATGAAGTTGTGTGTTGCATGTTAACATGTGCTTGCTATGTTTAACCGTATAATTGTTTAACCGTTTAACCGCCGTTGATTAATCGTGATTTTTATCCTTTTTGTTGACCCTTAGTAATTTGCAAGGCGGGTCACTATGGTGTGGTGGAAAAAGGGATTGGTTACTGCATGCCATGTCCCAAGAACGAGTACCAGCCACAGGAAGGAAAACTACGATGTATACCATGTCCTGAAAATCATGTCACAGAAAAGGAAGGAGCTTTAGACCCAAAGCAATGTTTGATAGGTAAGCAGATAAACTCTAAACAAAACTGCGGCACAACTTTTAGATCTTTTTTTAACACGAATAAAAAGTTTGTAGAGTATATGCCGGCAAATGAGCAAATTACAATGATAACAATATGTACTCCGAACATTTTATTAGGCTTATGTTAATGATCTTGCAGTGTTATCACAAGAAGTTCATTGATGCTTTGTATTTTATATGCTTCTATATTAATTAAAACTGGTAACATGTTCTTTAGAAAATAAAAGGAATATTAGTGTTTTCACAGACTAGCCTCAACTCTTTTATGATAAATTTAAACAACCTGTTTATTATGGATTGGTATCGTACTTGGCTCGTACTTGGCTGTATTCGAAAATAAACGATTGATGGTGGGTTAAGCAGGGTATAGTGAAGTATATAGAAACATACCATAATTAAACACCAAACGGGAAACATTCTGAAAAATGCAAATGCACATAATACCAGTTTCTTTGTCGAATTCTTAGTGTACTGCATGTTCTCTTTGGTAGGAAAAGTTGCATTACCAACGTTGAGAACAAAAAGTGCAACGAAAGTAACAAACACTGATGTGAGAGCAAAAGATGGCACGACCAACGATGCAACCAAAAAAGAAGAACCAACAACAAAGGCAGTTTTTGATCATCTCGATGGTGACGATCATGGAGAATCATCAACACATTTGATTATTGGTTTGTCGCTCGGCGGTTTTTTCCTACTTCTTTTTGCTATAGGTAATTCAAATTTACCTTCTTGTGCGTATTCTCATTATAATTATATAATGTAAAATAATCCTTCAAGCTCCGTGTCGTATAAGCCAAATACTTCCTAACATTCCAAATGATCGAAGATTGATTGCAAATAGTTTTATATAAAATACAAAATTTTACATATTTGAATTTTTTTTATTTTTACACGCCTATTGATATTTTTTGATTTCCCGAAATCTGATTGGCTGCAATAGTGGACGGGTTTTACGATATCTTGACCGTTGGCTATATTTAGCAGCAAAAGTTTTTGCCAAGTGCTTTTAAACTTTGCTAATCAATTTGAAAAGCCAGGTCAATTTTTGAAAGACAAAGCAAAATGCATTCAGATTATATATATTTTAGTTAGAGTGAATTTTACTATCAAGACGAAGTCAACGTTGTAGAAAACAATTGAATTTCAGTCTCAACATGCAAGCCAATGTTTGTTTAACACATATTTTCTATGTTAATTCGTTAATTATAGAAAAAAATGAAAACTTTATTTACCGTTTAGGTCTTATATTTTAAGTACGGACCTCTCTAACTAAATATAAAATTTTCGATAAAAAATCTATACCAAAATTGATGTCGTATCATATTTTATTGATATGTATTTGATAATAATACAATTCAATTTAATACTCTTTTGATAATGATACAATTGAATTTAAAACCCTCCGGAGAAGATCATGGTTTAGTTACCATTTCTTACTTATATTTCCTTTTCTTTAGCTTCATATTAATCATAATATACCCTTATTTCCGTTGTAAAAATTGATTAACGGCCTCAATTGCTCTTTCTCGGATCTAGGCCTCGTTTTGGTGCTTCGTCGCTGGAAACATGTGTTTATACCGAGCAAACGCCCGAAAAAGAGAGAAAAGGTGCGTTCTCCCAAAACACTTGCTAGGAATGACATGTTTTTTTTCTTTTATCGCAATGCATGCCATAGTATAACCTTGAAGTATTTGTGTCCAGTTTCACAATGTTATAATAATTATCATATCATGAGTTGCGTGCGCATGTCACAGACGGCAATATACATATATGAAACTTTAATGTAAAACAAAAGGGACAGAATTAGCTTTAGATGCGTCCGTCTTTGGACGTGCCACGTCATTTATTTGCCATTTTTCATAGGGTTGCATCTATATAATCGCGTCTCATTACCAGTTTCTCATATTGTCGGTATTTCCGGTATATATAGCTATAAGAGATGACATATCACAAACAGTATTTTTTTTATTAGTTGGCCGCAGAAACATCCGTTGTCGTTCAAGACTATCCTGCCACCGTTTCTTCTTTTACAAATGTAATATATGACGAATCGTTCAAAACGGATGAGAACGTAATATCGAAGGATGTGGATGAAGATTTTCACTCGAGCCCTGTTGACAAGGCAAACGCGGATTCCTCTGAATGTGATGCAAAGTAGGACGGCATTTGGGCGTTATCCTTTTTTCATGAAAAATAATCTGAGGTAAATTAGCAACAATATAGACTTAGTATCTATTATACCTATATAATCTTCAACTACAATTAACCATTCTTAGGACTATATAAACTGTAAAATTTGTAGAAATTCAGGGAGAGGTTGTGGTATAAACTATAACAATCTTTGATTCGACTGTATGATATTATATACAAGCAATAATTTGAACGTATATAATCAATAATTTGGACGTATATAATCAATAATTTGAATTTATCTACACTGATAAACAATAATCATGCTTTTCCAATAGGTAATGAATTAAAGGCACGGGTAATTTTTTTGTGAGCAACGTTTTGATTTTATAGATTCACTTTGTTTGCCATAATAAATTATTGTTCTTTCATGAAATCTGCAGGTGGACATGTTAAGTAGCTATAGTGGTGCGCATGTTTGACTCTCCTCCCTTAAATAGTCCTCCCAGGTTGATATACAGGTCGCTTGTTGCTTTTCAGAAAAGTCAGACACTAGATTTTTGTTATAGTTATGCGGATGCGCGAAATATGAACAAATATTTGGGAGCGAAATTTGGGAGTTTACGTTTCACGACGCGGCCAGCTCGACGGCGCGCTTGCAAAACAAAACCCCATATGCGAGGCAATATATATAGCTTCAGATCAAGGTATGAATACGAGTACCGGGCGACGAATTAGCATGCACTACTTGCAGTCGTTTATTGTCGTTTCCGCCGAAAATTTGAACGTTCAGAAAGTTTTTTTTAGTACGACGACCATATGCTTAAAAACAAGAAGGATCGCATGGTGAAGAAAAGCACGTGAATTATCCCAATTTATGTACTACAATCAGTACAATGACGTTATCGACGAACTTGATTATTGCCTTGTTCATAACAGTACCACAAGACAAGCTCCAGTTTTTCCGTACTGGGATTATGGAAGATTTAACCTTTAGTTTGACCGGTTTGACGGTTTAATAAAACAGATTTTCAATTTTTTACTAGAATTCCTTATCATTCCGGACCGCGTCAGATGCTCATATGTTACTTTAGCTTTAGGCATGGAGGGTTTATGCACTGTCCTGAAAAGATTTGCCTATCTGTGTCGACTTGGTGACATGATACCACGTTTTGGAAGATAGGTTCCCGAGTTAAGTGGAAGATGCACAGAAGTCACCGCATATATTTACAATATTATGTGTTAGCGCTAGATAAAAGTAGGTACGTTACGTACATGTGGGTAGCCTGTAAAGCCATAAAGCTATGTTGTATTCAATGTCAAACTACAGGCTGCTATAGTGGCGAGTAAATATCAACTGCATGATGCTTAGTCTTACGTTCTAATACCATATATACAACGGCAAAAATGCGCTATAGTTAGCTAGTTAAAGACAATTATAACGAAGTCGATTTTAATACACAATCTATATATTATAATATTATTATCATATATAAAAGCATATTTTAGAAGAGATAGGAAATGCATATTTTTTAAGCAGAATAGTTGGAGAGAACAAAAAAGAGAGTATATGGTTCCAGGTTGGTGGTACACATCCCCTGATAACATAAAGCTTAGTTTAGAAGGAGAGAAGGAAGATTTCAGACGTTTTCAAATTATTTTGTTTTGATGTCCCTTGATTATCAGCATGTCTTTGTTGCATACAACATTGGTTATTCTGTCGATCAATGAATGTTATAAAGTTAACAAATGTTAGAATGGTTATTGTTCCAGTAAGATTATGCGGCTTGTTTGCCAAATTTTATTGACAATACGTTATCACCATTAATACTGAAGATATGATAGTGTGATTTCATAGATCCAGTAGGAAGTTACAAGGTGTTCGCAATGTTGATTACAAATAACTTATCAGCATGGAGATAATAGCACCAGCTCATAGGCCCAATAAGACTGCGTGGCTTGTTTGCAAGTTTCATTGACAATATCTTACCACTGCATGTGGTTCAGTCCGACAATCAGTCAACATTGAATGCCATCATTCATCATTGGTATAAACGTGTATTGCTGAGTAGTAGTAACCAGGAAAGAATGTCCTAGGACCTGGATTTTCCTCCACATCATCTGAAAGTCTTAGTAATAATAGCACATAAACATTGTGATTGTATACCTTTATGAATTGAATAAGCTAATACTGTGTTCATTTAGTTGGCATGCAAATTTTCAATTGAATATCTATATTCAAAATATAATGCAAATGCAACAAAACATATGTTATGGGAATAACATTGCTCAAGAAACTTTTCTGTGTATATAATTTTCATTTTGCTTCCTATAGTATGTTTTATAAATTATAATACATTATACACATGCATGTATAATTGTGATCAGATCCATATGAATACTGATAGAAATTGTAGTACTTACAGTTTTGTCACTTTTGTGTGTTACTTTGGAGGAACAGGGGAATTGCCCGATTGGGGGAGTTAGGTAGCAGGCGAACTGGGGAACAGAGCCACATAGGAATTTCCTTTCTCCCGCCACTTCGCATCCCTGGTTCCCCCAATCTCTTGTTCCTCCACTCTCCAGTTCCTCCATTCCCCTGCTCTCTAGTTCTCCCACTCCCGAGTTCCCCCATTACCCGATTACCCCATTCGCCGATTCCATGATTCCCTCATTACCGATTTCCTGATCCCCCTATGATTCGCCGATTCCCCCATTCCTCGATTCCCTGATTCCCCCTTTCCCCGATTCCCCCATTCCCCGATTCCCGCTCCCCCTTTTAAAGATAGCCAAACTCAAAGCAGCCCTTCGAATGAAATTCTAGATTAAATTTTCCGGAAGTATTGACGAACGCACGAACAATATGTTCGTCACCTTTCGTTTATTCGACGAATCATCGCCGAAGATTAAGAGACGTACAGACGTACGTATACCCACCGACACTTTTTCCGCAACAACACAGTGGTTAGCCGCGCGTGCGCAGCGGCTACGTACCACAAAAACGAATCACTTGCGGTCAAGTGACAAGTGTCTGTCGCAACAGGTGATATCGCTTCAAAGATGTTATCAAGTCTGAGCATATTTTCTACTAAGCAATATTACATAATTGACACCCTCCTTTCGAATTTTAATTGAATTCAAATCACAAAAACTAGACAAAGATTCTATGAATCCAGCCGTTACGCCTGGAAATTCGCTTGTTTGATATTTGAAAATTCGATTACTTAAAAATATGTGCAGAAAGGACTTTAGAATTACACAATGTTTATTTATGGACGTTTCGAGTTCCTGCATGAGTTGTTCATCTTCCTGGTTTCTTTCCTCCGATAGTATGCATATTTTTAACAGAGTTGCTGAATTTTGATTGCCACTGGTAGACGTATTAAACTAAATCTGACACTTAATTTAAAACAAGTAAAATTTATAGGATATGACAGAATCACTTGTAGGAAATATGAAAAAATTATATAAATATATAAATATCAATCACGTGAGCATTAAACTTGCTCATTTATTATTTCGCTCATTTTTGTCTTGTTTCTTTATTTTTATCAATATTGTTAACCTTACTATTATATTTATGAAATTTTTAACAAAGATTTTCACGGATTTCCCATAAAATTAACGTATGCAGTAAAATCACATGACTGATATTTACGTATTTATATATATTTCAATATGACAACCTTTTTGATAACGACTGTATATATATATATATATATATATTATATATAATTATATATATATATATAATTATATATATATATATATATATATAACGTAAATATATTACCGGTAAATATTACCTAAATACCAATCAAAAGTATGCCCGCAGTACGTGACCGGGATATTTTCCCGTGGAATATATATATTGGCAATATCAGCTTGATTTTCAAACAATTTGAAGGCCTGTTAAAGTTTTAATTGAAAAGACATCTCGTAGAGGTAAGTTTGAATTTGACTCGCTACGGGCATGAGTAAATCGAAAATCTTGCGTTGGCTTTAAACCAACAATCCGGGCTTTAAATATCCGTAATTTAGTATTTTCGACTTCACACTTATTTCAATACCACCAAATAATCTCACGCTTCGTCAAATCTCGGAAAGCTGAATCATGTAAATGTATCACATTGGTCAGAAGAGAGATCGACAATTTGTGAACCAGATGGTGGGACATTAGTCATAACATCTGAAATAATGTAGACACACCTTTTCACTATAGTAACGATGAAAACATTAGCAAAACAAACATGCAGCTATAATATTATATAATCTCTGTCCTTCTGCATTTAAAATATTTTACTAATACACCTTGCATGTAGCACTATTTTCAATGCTGCTGTGAAGTTTAAAATGCATTTGGTGATGGAATGTAATTACTTGGAATATATCCTATAAATACCTTCATTATTTTTTTAAGTCCCTAGCTGTTTCATAATAGCTACTGCATAAATGGACATTATTTTACTCATTGAAAAGTCTTTGCCAAATCGAATCAATTTCATCATCTAGCTATATCGAATTGAAGCCGAATAAATGTAGTGCCTTTAATTGATTTGACTAATTTTATCAATTTGAATCATTTTCAATATCGTTATATAATTTCAATATCGCACAGCTGGGATCCATTATAATTTCAACAAAATACAATTTAACTTTATTTATATTCATTTTAACCGGGCTACATTCTGTGCTGGCGTCGAATTCATAGACGACTTTATTGGCGTTTTGTGTTCGGCTATATTATGCAGTTAAGCCATCATGAATGTGCAAAAAATCTATGCTACCTGTAAGTGTAGGTGTCCATAATCCTATATATGTCTTTTCCAAGGCTGTTGTTATTAATCGCTCGAATGGTCCGTCTTCCTGTTTGTTGCGATTGAGCTCAACAACTTTTGTTTCCCTGGTTTAAATGTAAGTTTTTTGCTATTCTCAACAAACTAGTTCGTAGTTTCTCCAGGTTTTGGCTTATAAGAGCAATGATCTTCGTATTTGCGTCGTCGATTACGGTAGCTGTACGGTTATAGTCCTAACAAATAAGTTCGCCAATTAATAAGTTGTTCTGTTCTGAGAATAGACCGTACACACATAGACATAGTCATAGTCGCAGCAGGTGTTTATGGTATTCTGTTTTCTTGTATTTTAAAAGGAAACAGCATGCTGTTAGCATATTATTATGTAAATTACAAACCCTGCATCGCTTTTCCAAACATTTTTAGCATGAAACTTTTTGTTATGAAAATTTGTCAGTCATTTGCTCGTCGCGATCTTCGTTTTAGAATGCAATAAATATACATTTATTGAAACACGCTCAAGGAGTATAACCACGGCTCGAGGGTGGTCGAGGAATAAA